CCTGCCCGAGCACGACTACTTCGAGTTCTTCGCCAACGACTCCAGGTAGGGCCGCCCGCCCCGCCCGGGTGGCTCCCGGGAGCCGCCACCGCCGCCGGCCGGGCCCCCAGAGGCCCCGCCGCCCGGTCAGCCCTGCCCTCTCGCTCTTGTCTCCCCGCAGCCTCTACCCATACATGTTCTCGAGGGCCTATATCAACTTTAAGAACCAGGAAGACATAGTCCTCTTCAGGGATCGCTTTGACGGCTATGTTTTTGTCGATCATAAAGGCAAGTGCAGGGCGCTCGGCTGGGTGTCGACGCCTTCCCCCGCGTGTGCGCGGTGTGCTAGCTCAACTTCAGAGGCAGGGGTGCGAGCAGCCTAACGTGCCCCTTTGGGTTGGTTTGTTTTTAGTGCCTTAAGTGAATACCGTGCTGTTTCAAAGAATAAAGAAAACGTCTTGTGCTTTGTGGAAACTAATCTAAACTGATTTTATACATTTCTATTTTGTATTTTATGTGTAAAACCCAGTTAGGTGTGCATCAAGGCAGTAGTGGCATCAACTTAAACCCAGTTGCCGTGTTACTGAGGTTAATGCTTGCGTTGTCATACCTGAGTATGAAGTCTGAAAAGTGAAAGTGAGTCAGTGGTGTCGCTGTCCAAACTAAATGAAGCTGAGGTCAATGGTGCCACCCTCTGCTACTCCCCTCACCTGTTCTGTACACTTCTAACAGCATGGCTTATTTTTTGGTCAGTTTTTAATTCAGATTCTTACTTGTTCCAGTTTGCAACTGAGTGAGTCATCTTGATTCAGTCAAAGGAACAGCTTGTTCCTTGCAGTCAAAGTTGTGGAAGTGACTGCTCTCTGGAGACATTAATCTGTAGGAAACAAATCCTTTGTTTAATTCATTGGTTAAGCATCCAAGTATTTAGTCACGGCTTATCTTTTTTCTAAATACATGTTAGGTATTCAGTACATCTCATGTTTTTAAATTTCACTTTTCAGAATGCTTACATTGGGTACTGCTAAAAGTTACTAGTCTCTCATTGATAGACCTTTAAATTTACATATTTAGCAAAAGCTTTAACAAGAGTCTTCCTGTCAGCTTCGGTAGGCCAAGGATTTCACATTGAACTTTGTTTCAAGTATGCATGTTTTACATTTCATCCAGCCAGGTGTTTTGTGTGACACAAAGCTCTGTCTACAAGATTCTTCCTTGTTTAGGAGGGTTGCATGACAAGGTTCTAATAGCACCTAGATCTTTTAAATAAGCTGGCTTGCAGTGTAGCAGCGTACTGTATTTGCCATACCCAAGAGCTCTTGGATTTATGCAGCCATAAGCGTAGCATTCTTGTCAGAAGATAAAACTTCGAAGCCTGCCTGTAATATGTTACCTTCTATTGTATTTTGCCAAAAATTGAGGTTTGCCTCAGTTGCATTAACTTAAAATACTCTCTTCTGCTTGCACAATGAATGCATAGTCTGTAGGATGAGGATATTATGTGGTGTGGTGTAGCTGAGGTGGCTGAACTGACAAGTTATGAGCAGCCTTAAATCTAGCATTTCCTTCTTGTTGTGAGTCTGTGAATTTACTGTCTTGTTAACATAGTGAGAGTGTTTAGTTCATGAATTCTGCCGTCCCTAATGTGGTTTTTTTTTTTTTTTTATTAAATGGCTTTCAAAATACAAGCATTTTTTAATGCTATCCAAGTAGTCTCTTCTAGTATTGCATGTTTCTTGTGAGGCTTATCCTCCTGCTTTAGACATGGACAATATACTCTATTTTATGTGTTACGTCTCTATTTTAATGTATTTTTCCCTCTTGTCTTAACAGGTCAGGAATATGCTGCCATAGTTGAGTTTGCACCTTTCCAGAAAGCTGCAAAAAAGAAGAGTAAGAAAAAGGATGCCAAAACTGGAACTATCGAAGATGGTAAAACAGCTAGCTAGTTTGTTTTGCATGTGTAGACTTGAAAGTCCTACCAGTAATTTGAATATAATGTTTTTACTGTGACACTGGAGTTTATCAATAGAATGTTTGCGTAATTATATGTGAAGCTTATTAGCACTGCTTTGTCAGCTGCAAATCTATTAAATGTGATTGTCCTAGAAAAACATAATGCAGCAGCTCATTTGAGAGCTGCCAGCTTATGAAAAGGTGACATATAAACAATGCAACTTATGCAAATCTAACCCAGACTTCCAGCAGTGCGCAATGCAAGTTCTTTTCATGCTACAGTATATATCTTTTTTTTTTTTTTTTTTTTTTTTTTTTCCCCTGTAGATCCAGAGTACAAGAAGTTTTTGGAAAGTTACAGTGCAGATGATGAAAAACTAACCTCCACTCCTGAAACTTTGTTGGAGGAAATAGAGGCAAGAAACAAAGAGCTAATAGGTATGGAAGTCTATGTACTATAGTTACATTTTCCTAGAGAAGAAAGAAATGTATATGGTGTAATTTGAAGCTGTGATTTCTCAACCTTGAGGAGACTGAATTCTTTTGTGTGCTTGGTATTTGTTACACCTTTAGGCTAGTGTTATTCAGTGTATTTTATTTTGCTCCCACGCTCTAAATTCTTGTCTAGGTTTAAGTTTTATATGGTAACCTTCCTTCCTGTTTTAAGCTGCTGGTCAGATGTTTGTTAGCCAGACCAGGCTGCAGAGTGGCTGCGTTTCAGCAAGATTCAGTGACGTGTAATGCAAAATGCTGTGAGCAGTGATGTTCCGTGCAGGCACAAGTTAAGAGATATTGTAGTTGGGTAAAATACCACAAACATGGCCAGAAGACTCTCTTTTTAAGCATGTTACAGGTGTTTCTTTCAAAGTGAGAGAATCTGGGAAAAGCCTAATGCAGACTGAATATCCTTTTACAGATAGGTGTAATGGATATCGTATTAGTGTCCTGAAGAAGCTTATAGAATCCTAATAGTTGCCACTGTTCAGGGATAGGATTGGGATACTTGTTTCACTGCTGTATTGCTGTATGTGAGAGGAGATAGGCTGGATAATCCATGCATAAAGCTTCTTCATTTCATATAGGGTTTTGTTGTAGGTATTGCAGTATTGGATAAGGCAAATTGTTTATGTTTGTTTTTATATATTCTGTAGCTAAAAAGACTACTCCTTTATTGAACTTCTTGAAAAATAAACAGGTAAGACTTATCTCCAGAATCTTCTGTTGCTTACAACTGCAACTTGCTTATTTAAAGCATGGGTGTGTATATTGCAATATGTATATTGATATGTTTCTGCCCTTTCTTTTGAAGAAGAAACTTTTGACCCAATTTCCTTGTTAACATCTGGTTCACATGTTTTAAACTACTAGAATGCTGGCCTTCGTAGGAATGGTGGTGCTTTATGTGCATTCTGGTCAGAGCTGAACATCTCCGTGGCACTGCTAAACCAGATTCCATTTTAATGCTTTCATTTGTAATGCAGTTATGGCTGAGGTCCTTGTAGATGATCTTTCCCCTAGCACATAATCTCATTTTAGCCTTTAGCAATGGAGGAAAATCACAGATGGGGCAGATTGAATTAAAATTAGAATGATAAAGGCTGAGGCTAGTGTTGTGTGTGTTTGGTTGGTTGGGTTTTTTTTAAAAAACAATACAAATCAAGGCTTATGAGAGAGGAAAAAAAATGAAATGCTGCTGTAACATGTTCAGGTTCACAACAGAACAACAGAGATGGCAGGACTTTTGTTTTTTCCCCTTTTATAATGGGGGGTTTGAGGCGAGTTATTTGGTGATGAAATACTTTATTACTTTGTGGCAGCGTATCTGGTTGGGCTTACAGGGGTGTTTTCTAGTGTGGAGTTACACTATTTCTCTTTGCTTGTACACACGCAGAGACTGAGAGAAGAAAAAAGAGAGGAGAGGAGGAGGAGAGAATTGGAAAGAAAAAGACAAAGAGAAGAAGAAAGAAGAAAATGGAAAGAGGAGGAGAGAAGGAAGAGAAAAGAAGCAGAAAAACTGAAGAAAGTAGACAGATGCCCAGAAAAAGAAAGAGACAGATCAAAAGAAGAACCAAAGATTAAGGTCTAGAACAGTTCTTTATTATAAACTGTTACACTCCCTTTCCCCTATTATTTGTATATCAGTCTCTCAAAATGTGTTTTGAGTATTGTGTGAAGAATCACATGAGTTTGATGTTAGTAAATTACCACTTTTTTGTAATATTAGGCGTTGTAAAGGTTTACATACTGTAATGCTTCCTAGTAATATTTCAAGCTTTTGTCATGTGACTGTTGTACATGCTGTGGTGAACAGAATCGTGAATTCACTATGGAATGGAGACTATTTTTAAGCTTTCTAAAATGGCCTGTTTTAGGAGAAAAATCCTAGTCTGCTGTGTGGATTATGCTTACTCATACACTCCAGCTTTTAGAAATACTACGATTTGCAGTAACACTACTTTAATGTTTGTTTATTACTGGACTATGGTTACTTTGATGCAATTTCGGTGTTGTGCCAGACAATATGTACTAGAGTGAGCTTTTTAGTTGAGACTTCTGTTTTCTTTGTAGCTACTTAAGAAGCCTGAAAAAGATGAAAAAGACTTGGAGAAAAAAGAAAAATCCAAGAAACTGGAAAAAGAGACTCTGAGGGAGGAAAAAAATGCGAGTAGTGCATCTGCCAAACGATCTGATGGGGAGACAAAAGAAGAGAAGGCAAAAAAGTATTCTAGTACTTGCTATAAATATATATATATGTATATATACCTTGTTTCCTGATCGTACTGAGGCTTAGGCAGCTCTGCCATGACCATGTTTTGAAGTTCCTTTCAAGTTATTTTTCTGGTACAAGGCATGGGATGTGTCCTCTGTGGCAGCGCACATCCCCGTGATTACAGAAAGCCGTGTGAATTACCTGACAATTCTTCACTAGCGGACAAATTTTAATATTTTTGCAACTCACTGTAGGAACTCCGCAAAAGAAGCCCAGGTGTAGGTGACCTGCAACAGGCTGTGAGCGCTGTCCTTGCAATGAGAGAATTATAACCATGGCAAGAGGAGATGTGTACTCCGGTTACTGATCCCTTTAAGTCTTGTAAAAGGTCAAAGTGGAAAGTGTCATTCTCGACAGCTCCGTGGTCTGGGCAAGGTTCAGTTCTGCCATGTGAGAAATAGAGATGAGAGAGAGAAATTTAGGTGTTTTCCAAAGCCAGAGGAGACTCAGCCAGCTCTGTGAGTAGCAGGCTAGGAAACGCGAGCAGCCAGTGTCATCTCTGGTTATCATGCGTGACTCAGGTTATTACAGCTTCCCGAAAGCTCCCTAGAACCTGCCAGTCTGTCTTCTTCGTGTTGCAAATTTACACCAGTATTACATTGATCTCCCAGCTCTGTTTGATGAATCTTTTGAGCTTAATTTTCAGTTTTGTTTTCATACAGATCAGAAGATGAGTGTGTAAAGGACTACAGGGACCGAGATAGAGATTTTGAAAGAGACAGAGAATATGAGAGAGCACAGAGGGAGAAACTGAGACGCCAAGAAGAGGAGCGTCGGAGGCAGAAAGAGCGCTTTGAGAAAGAGAAGGTTTTTAGAAGAAAAGAGGAAGAGGTGAAAAAGGAGAGAGACTTACTCAGAGAAAAGGGAAAGAAAAGTGATCTTATGGACTTTACCAGCAGCACGGACAAATCTGAGAAAGTAACCAAAGACGATAAAAAAGAGGATACAATTAAGAGGGATCGTATCAGAAACAAGGTGCTGGATTTCTTTAAATTCATGTGTTGATTCATAGGACAAGTTTGTGGGGTTTAGGATAAAAGCACTTTAAGGAAAGAACCGTGTGGTTTCTCTGTTGAAACTTCTCCCTGTTCTGGTAACAAACTCTGCCGTTGCTAGGAAGCTTGCCCGTTTGTCCACTAAACTTTGCTAAACTGCTTGTGATATTTCTTGTCACTGTATAGCAATTAAGCCAAGATACCACGGGCTAAATTGTAAAGACGCTTTTCATTTGCTGATTTATGCCATAGGCTGTACCTTTAAGGTGTCGGTAGAGCATCAGTGATCTACCTGTATCTCTGCTGATGCTGTACGTGCCTGAAAATACATCTCAAAGTGGGAGAGGGATTGAACAGGTTCCTCCAAAACAGGGACAAGACTGCTACATGCAGAGTGTGACAGAAGATCTCCTGTAGACTCAAGAAATAAAGTCCTGAGTTTAGTTTTGTATACTCTGCAAATCTGGTTTTGCAGCACCAGTATGCAAGTTTTCCATGTCACTTAAGGCATTATCGGGTACAAATGAAACTCAAGGTTTTGAGGAAGCTTTGAAGTTGGCCTCTGTTCTGAGGGAGAGTGAGCCGAACTCGTCTCAAGAGGAAGCTCTTTACAGATAACTTCAACTATGTGCAGTGTTCTTTGTGACTTGAACAGGGATGTTGCCTTACAACAGAGACAACCTCGATTTGAGACAGTTGAATTCACGTTGCCACCATGGTGGAATAATTTAACTCAGAACACCCTGAAAAATTTGAATTTGAGCCATTTCTAGTATCACTGATGCCATAATAACCACGATAGCATGGGGCTATGAAAGAGTCTAAATAGTTTTGATTTATTTCAGGATCGTCCAGCAATGCAGCTGTACCAGCCAGGAGCCCGAAGCCGAAGCAGATTGTGTCAGTATGAAGACAGTGCTGCAAAGCCCACAGATCAGGGAGCGGATAAGAAACAAGAGAGTGAGCCCAGTAATGCGAAGGAAGAGGAGTGACTAGCGTGCAAGCCTTATGTGTTCTGACTGTCTGTGCAGCCAAAGAGCATGTACTACGCAATCCAGAAGTGCCTTCGAAGCGAAGAAGGAACAAAGGAAGAAAAGGGGGCATTGTGCTGTTGGATGTTTCTGGTTAAAGAACCTCAGTTGTAGATTCAGAATTTGAAATGTGTTCTCATTGTATTTTCAGTTATTTGAATTTATTTTCCCAGCGTCTAACTACAACCGAGAAGAGAATCTTTGCAAAGTAGAAAGACTTTATGGCCTTAAGTACGATGATAAATGAGTCATGCGGACAGGAGGAGATGACACCTGCATCGAAAGCCAGAGCTTTACTGTAAAGCGATCGGAGCCAGCGTGTGATGCGCTTACGCAGAGCAAGGCGTGAAGTTGCCCGGAGTCAACGCAGGTGTTGCTGTGCTGTGTGGTGCCCCTGCCCGAGGCAGCGATAGTGAAATTGTGTCAGTCTAGCACCAAGACAGGTACGCAGGCTGGGGTTGTTGAGGCAGCAGTGAACAGGAGCCCTCTGGCACGCGAGGAGGAGAAGATCCGGCATTGCAGGAATGGCGCTAGGGAGGGAGAGACCTTCCTCTTCAGTCGTTCTCTGGATAAAGTAACTAAGTTGGAGTGTATGAATAAGCTGGCTTAATATTGGAATAATCCTTGACAAATTCTCATGTAAAGTCTACCTACATCGAAATGCTTATTTTTAATCAAATGTGGCTGGTTTGAGCATCCTGTTCTTTTCCAGCGTTCTCCCTTCTTTAGAGTGAAATGTTTCCTAACTCCTGCCCTCTCGGTACTGCTTCATCTTCCCTCATAACTTGAAGTATTGTTTTACAGCCCAGAAAGAGACTTCACCAGTAGCAGCTCCTCCTAAGCTAGCGAATTTTAGCCATAGCTATTTTGTACTAAACCCAATAAACTCGCAGAAACTCGTGCCGCCGCCGTCCCTCACTGAGCCGCGCCTGCGCCGGGGCGGGTCCCCCGGGCCGCCAGGGGGCGCTGTGCCCGCGGAGCTCGCGCCCTCTCCCCGTCCCTCTCTCGCCGCTTCCCGCCCCTCCCTTCCGCCTCTTCCGCCGCCGCCATCGCCGGGACGCCCGGCAGCTCCC